CCGCGGGGAGGAGCCGCCGCGCCGAGGACTTGGTGTGTGCGTCACTAGGACTCTGGAAAAGAACAAGACCTAGTTACGAGTTTATTTTTTTCCCCGAGACCCAAATTTCCTAAATCCCGATTCAGTTTAAAAATAGCTCTTGGAAGGATTTGGGCTCGGCTACTCTTGAGCAGGCGCCCGCGCGGGTTTTGAGCTGGGGGGAGCATCCCTTGCACCGGAGCATCCCTGGCGGGAGCATCGGGTACCTGGTGAAATCCTGCTGCTGTGAGCTACTAGAGCAAATCCTGCTACTACACGGCTACTAGAGCAAAGCCAATCCGGCCGTGACTATTGTATGCCCACACAGGTAAGACAGCGCCGATGTTAAAAAGCAGGCTTGGGACTTAGATTTTGTCAGAGAATAAATTCACACCCAGCACCTGCATTTGGTGTGTGGCATTTAATGCCTTGAAATAGCTCCTCAATCTCAGGGCAGGTCTGTGCAGAGTTTTTACTGCAATGAACAGATCATTGTCCATTCCGTATCAGTACCTGCTGACTTCATATGTTAACCAGCTTACAGTAAAAATCTCATAAATACATTCATATTAGGGAAAATCCCAAGAACCCATGCAGGGTTCATAGCTGAACACTTATTCTCACTATAACTAGAATGCAAGATGCCTCTAACTATAAAAACTCATCATTCTGCAGGTTTGCAGTAGCATGGCAGGCAATCTGGAGGAAGATAATTTTGCTTAATGAACACCAGTTTAAATAAAAAGTGGATTGAGCAGAATCTCAAATACAGTCTTTCAAGTTCTCTCTGTGACTTAAATCAGTATAATCTAGAAGAGCTGTGACAGTTCTCATCAGTTGAAGACCTGGCCAAACAGGATTGTTCTTTCACTCATCATAGGGCAGAAAGAGATTGTAATGCTGAGAAGTGAATTAATGTGACAGTTTTATCATTTAAAAAAGGGGAAAAATCAAAACAACCAACCTTAAAGATAAAAAAAAATGTTAAAATAGATAAAAGGATGAAAGTAGAAGGTAAAAGAGGGGAAGAAAAGCATTAGCAGAATATTGCTCTGTTCTTAAAATCAATAATCAGCAATCAGTACAGCAAGGAAATGTCATCAGACTGGACCTTCTCAAATATCTGTCCAGCATGAAAAGACTCCCACAGAATTCAGCCAGAATTCATCTGAGGAGTCAAGATAATTTATTATGCAGCTATTTAAATTAAATATTCAGTCTTCCCTTTAAAAAGCAACACAGAGCATTTTCAGTGAATTTAATGCCTACAGAAGTAAACTTCTGTAGGCACTGAAAAAAAATAGGACTCCATAAACCAATATGGAGTCCACAGTGCAACCTTCTGGTTTTTTGCTTTATATTTACCCATATTACAGTATGATTTGATGCAATAAAAATAAAGCTATGACTACCCGTGAAACATGCCATGTATGTGGGGGAAGAGAACAGCAGGAAAACTGTGGTTTCTGATCGAAGGAATATTCTTGTTGTGGGGGAGGGTGATCAGGTAGAAATTTTGCTCCTGGTCCTGCAATTGGATCCATCAAGCCTGACCTCTGTGCTACTGCAGTGCTTGTTGGAGTCAGCAGAACTATGTGCTAAGTGCAGGGATCTGTCCATGTGGAACTAACTGGGGATTTGGGACCTTCCAGTTTCCTGCTGTGGAGGGAGGATGAGTTCACCTCCATATGAATTCTGGAAGAGGAGCAAGAGACTTCCATAAGAGAAACTTGCATTTATTTTTAGATCTTCTGTTCTCTCACTCAATCCCATAGAGACCATGCTGAACACAGAGTGCCTCCCTTTCTCCAACTACACGTGCCTACCTGCTAACACCAGGCCATTGCAGCTGAAAATCAGTATGCCCCATATTTCCCTAGTGAGAAAAACTTTGCACATAATTTATAGTCACTGTTCAGTAGCTGCTGTCACAGTTGCTAATCCAGGTTTGAGTCAGTTTAAATGTTGTGTCCTAAATATGACCTCTGTCAGTGTCTTGTCCATCACTGTGGAGCACACTGGTTGCCTTGTACTCCTCCAAAAATGCTTTTTTTCTTGGCAGCTTCTAAGTATACAGGTCAGGCAGGTTGGTGTGCACTTGCAGCTTCATGCAACTGGACAATGTTCTGAACATACCTCTCCATCCAGAGATACATCTCCTGATTGCTAGTGAGGCTGCATGGACACTCCATGACCTCCAGCTGTCAGGCTGGTGTGCACCTGTCCATGCTAAAATGCCAGGCTTCTCCAGCCCTCAGGAATGAGATCAGTCACAGACAGATGAAACCTGGCAAGAGCTGAGACAGCAGTGTTGACAAGTGAGAGAAATTGAATGCATTCCATAACAGACACCTGCCTTTAACTGTGCTGTGCCAGGCTGGAAGACTGACCCATAGCACACCAGCACTGCACCACTTGGTTATTTTTGTCTGTCACCACTGACCTCTAGATCATTTTGTGTGGTGCCTGCTCCAGCAGGTGAGGGCTGAGAACAGCTTTTGGTTTGAGCCCTTTGAAGAGATAGGGGGAAGCCCTTTGAAGAGATAGGCAAAACTGATGGTATCCTACATAGGGAGATACTGGCTTGTCAGATTGTGTCAGGGTACTTCTAGGCAGCTCAGGAGTGACCTCATGGCTCTCTACAACTACCTGAAAGGGGTTGTGGAGAGGTGAGTGATGGTCTCTTCTGCCATGGCTGCAGTGAGAGGACTAGAGGGAATGGTCATAACCTGAGATGGGGGAGATTGATATTAGAAAATTTTTTCCCCTGTTAGGGTGTTCAGGCACTGGAATAGACTCCCCAGGGAGGTAGTGGAGTTGCTAATCCTGGAAGTGGTTAAGAGTCATCTGGATCTCGTGCTGGAGGATATGGTTTAGGTGTTACAGCAGAGTGGCAGGTTAATGGTTGGACTTGGTCTTGGAGGTCTCCTCTAACCTTGATGATTCTATGATTCAAGGCACACTCAAAAGCAGAACATGAAATAAATGTGGAAATACAAAATTAAAATGTAAGGACTCACAGCACTCTCATTGCTCTGGGGTTGAAACAGTTTCCAAGCAGAGTTTTTTTGGACCATCATTCTAGATTGCAAGACTGCGGAGTTTACAAACCTCATCCTTTGTTAGACGCATCTGTAAATCTATTTGCGAATACAATGCCTGGAACCATGTTGATCTTGAAAGCTGAGCTGGAGTATGAAACTTCAGTGCAGCCCATAGTTGTCTGGATGTTCTGGGGGAACCTACCGTCTGAGTTGAGTGCCTAAGACCCACATTCAAACAAGAAGGGACCCCAGGAAGGGTTCCATCACAGCTTTCTCACTGAGTAAGGGTGCAGGAGGGAGAAGCTATGATTGTCAAAGCCCTTAGAGATTTGTGTAAAAGCAAGCAGAGGTCACTATTTTTGTTTTCTCTTGCTGAGATGCTCTGTTCAAGAAGGGTGCTCCAAAAATGCTTATAGGACTGGGTTGTACAGGTGAACCAAGCTGAGGAAGTCTAATCTGTAGACTGGTCTTATTAATGAGTAGGCTACCCTAAAGAATCAGACAGAATTAAGACATAATTCATACTTTCATGGATCAGACACTTGAGCATTTTTGAAGTTTCCCAAGCAATCAAGAGTGAAAATATATCAAGAACATATCAATATCAGGAATAAATTTCTAATGATGCTGAATATCCAGGAGCAATCACAACCTTCCACAAACATCTTGTGCATTCACAGTTCACACTAGTTTCAGCAAGTCTGAAAATCAAGCTTCTTGTTGGGGAATCCTAATATGGATTTAGATCTTTGAATTTAATAGCTTTGCTATTAATAATTCTGCTCTTAAATAATTAATAGCTCTGCTCTTAAACTGCATCGCAAAGGGCTAATGAATTTTGACAGGGAAAAAGAAGGGATCAATTAAGTATCTTCAGTGATACTGAACTAGGTATAGGTACAAGATCTTGTTCATGCTTGTTATTACACAGGTGTTTGAAGAAAAGATTCTTGGGGATTCTTGCTGGTGTCTCTTAGAACTGTTGTCTGTTATCCATGGTGATTTTATGAAGACATTGGGTATATTTCCTCATAACGTGGAGGTGACAAGTTATTACAAGCATAGTCTTCTGGCAATTCTTCTGGCTCATCAGAACTGTCCTCTGACCTGAGAAGGGGAAGAGGAGCAGATGCAAAAAGAATTTACCAAGAATGAAGCATGCATGTAACCTCAATGCTTCATCCTGTCAGCCTTATCTGGGCAAAGTACTTCCTGGCTTCTTGAGAAAATGCTATGTGCTTTTTAATGCTAAGAGAGTTTTACTGTGATTCAGCTGTTTTCATGAAGTATAAAAGTGTCAGGAGGTGACCTTTGTCTTCATCCTGCCTATGCCTGTCACCCATATTGCTGAGGACAATTGGGTCAGTCAGCAGTTTTTCATACAGACTTTGATAAAGGAATTAAAAGTGACTTGTGTTCTATGAAAGATATAATTCTAAGTAATTCCTATAATTAGAATACTTTTCCTTAGAAGAAAGAACTACATACATTTATTTTGCGTATTATTTAAGCAGTTTCATATTGCTGTGCAATTTCAATGATCTTGTTTAAGCCTCAAAACTAGGAAAAGAGTAAGAGCTGGAAGGCAGCTGCAGTGGGAGAAGAGTGTGTTGTGACAAGGCATAATCAGAAGGGAGAGCATGTGGTACCAGACTGATTCTTGCACGGTTGCAGAAACGCCGTTTGTGTGCTGACTCAAGTGTTGTGATTGTTTTTGAGTGGAAGCCTCTAGCTGTACATATGATAACCTAAAGATGGTAAGATAACCATAAAAAACCTACATGGACAGGAGTATATATACCAATATCTTAAAAAATAACAAGAGATTTAGTAGACTAAAAATTGAAAGACATTTATAAGTGAATTTAAATTGGATAAAAACACTTTCCAGGAAAAGTTTGTCTCCTTAGTCTTTACTCCAGAAGAATCCCTAACGAAGATTAAAAAAAACCCCAAAACACAAGGGAGGATAATATCTACATACATAGCACTTAAAATACTGAGAAACTTGTGTCCAAACACACTAAGGCATTTCAGAAGATGTACCTCTGATTCCTGGTGTTCTCTGCAGGGTAAGTAGCGTAGTTCTCATCTCCAGTAAAAGCTGGGTTATCCAGTGGGTAGGCAGGGCAGAAGTGAGGAGAGCCTGAAGCGGAAACCGGAGAGGCACTGGAGGAAACGGCACCGCAGCAGCTGAGCACTGGGTGAAGGTAGCCAGGACTCACAGCAATGCCTTCCTGGGACGGGTACGGCGGAGGGATGTACTGTACCACTGTGGCGCCGTGAAAAGTTATAGGCTGGTTAATGCCGGTGAAGACGAAGGACTGTCCGCTTGCAGTCTGGTCAAGGTCTGATGTATTTTCCTCTCTTTCTTTACAGGGCTTGCATGTAAGCATATTAAATTTACAAACAGCAATCAGAATAAAAGTCACCCCAACAGAGAGCAGAATAGGGCCTAGTAACTGAGTCCACTCCAGGTGAGTAATGCCGTCATATTTTATCCACCCCATCACGGTGAAAGTGATTCCCACCAGTCCCAAAAACACACCTGAAAAAAGCAGGGTGGTGCCAGCTTTATCCCCATCTGACACCAGGGCATCAGATCTGTTTGGCTGACAAGGAGTAACAGAGAAGACATTCAAAGAGAAATCTTCTACATGGTTGTTGTTTTGCTCCATTACTGAGTATAATGTATCTTCTACCTCAAGAGAAAGGGAGCTTGTAAGGGAATTGGCAGAGCATTTAAAGTCGAAGGTTCAGGTTAGTTATACAAGAACTTTGTGTGTGTATGGTTAACAGAGTCCATCATGTGAAAGAATAAACTTTGCTTAGAAGAATAAAGGTCTGGGAAGTGAAGCCTGAAGCCATCACTAAAGATTTCTGGAATTACCACCATCACTTCCGAATTGGTTTAAACCTTGCATGGCTGCTTATCTCTTTGTGTATCCTCTTCTTTAATTTAGCACACATGATACTTCCTTACCATGCCCATGGTGGGTGGGAGAAAAAGGAAGTTGCAGCTATTGTTAGGCTCTAGCTAGCTGATGCATCCAGCATATGGACTGCACACATTTAGTCAACAGCCGTGCAGGAACTCTAGCTCTCCACTTCCAGCTCCATTTTCTGCAGGATGCATAGCTATTGCTTGGAATGCTTTGCAGTGCTCTGAAGCATGACATTTACAGCCATGCCTGAACCTCTGTTGCAGCTCATTCTGCAATCCAGAGCTTCCATGGTTTAAAAAAATACCAAAGCAGGCTTTCTAATATTTTGCTGGGGTAACCACTGGGTGGATGAGAGGGTAAGTGCAACAGGGTGGTGCATGATGAACTGCCTGGGAGAGCTGCTGATTGTGGACGAAGCGTTATTTCAAGACAGGCAAAGCTTTCCAGTTTGGCTGGCTTGGAAGGTAGTATAATTGCCCTGATTTTGAAATCCTTCTGTTTCCTAACAGTTTCAGACTCAAGTAATTCCTGTTGGAGTGTTCTGGTAGAACATCTCTATAATTCCTTAAGGAGGAAAAATCTGAAAAAAATCAATCTTTTTTGACTAACATGGCAGGGAACTACACACAGCACACTGATTACTACTCAGGTAGTAGAATGTATAATGCTATTTCCAGCTACCAGCAGCTCTGGGGAAGCAAGATTTTCTTGAGATCTATAACATAAAAATAGCTCTAGAACTAGAAAATTCACCTTTCAGACTGTTTCTTCAAAGTAGACTAAAGGTGCCTTTAGTCCACTGTGCATTCATATCACACAGTGTGAGAACTGCTCTCCTCTGAAAGAGGCTGCTCACCATATTTAGCACCTTCAGAACTGATGCTGGATGCAACTGCAGATGTGTCTTTCTCATTTCTTAGTAGATAGACCTTGAGGAATACTAGTGCTGGTTTCCTTGAAAAAACAGCTGTGAAGTTTCCGAAGTGAGTATTATGTCTCTTCTATTACTCAGGGTGCCAACAAATTTTCTGACAAATCCACTCAAAATCAACCTTTCCCACAGCACCAAGTCTAGCCAGGACTCTCTGCACCTCTTGAGCAAATTCAGGCTTGCAATGCAATGGTTTTGTATGATGACAACTAAATTAGTAAGTGCTGAAATACTAGATAAGCTGTCCTGGTATTGGTAATTACAGACAAAATCTGTCACCTTTAACCTTGTATTTGTTAAACTTAATGGAATGAACTTCTGTTACTGCTCTTTGCAAGTCAGGTTTTTCCATAGCATGAATCATTCTTTCCACTGGTGAATCTTCCAGGCTTTTCAACATCCTTTTTAAAGCAGCACTATATTATAATATACAGATGTAGTGTTACCTTTCTCCTCTTATTCATTGCTATTTGCAATGGGATTGTGTTAGAGCACTTCCTCAATCCTATGCAATGGTCCTTAGATGCTGCCTGGAGTCAGAATTTTCCAAGCTGGAGTTGCATCATTCCATGGCTGAGGCTCTTTGCCTCTGGTCTAGGGCATGACTTCATGATTGTCGAGCTTTCACTCCGTAGAGCTGGAGAATACAGCTGTGTTTATGGGGTTTTTTTATTTTCCAAGGCTACTTTCTGCTTGAACTTTGAAAATGGGATGGAAAACACTTTCTGTTTGGTGCAGTGGGACCTACATTAAAATTACACCTTTCCCTGTAGACTGTAAGATATAGTTTCCTCTAAGCCTTCCCATATTTCTCTGATTCTTTCCCCAGACAGTGGTAATGCTGCATTCAGGCAGCTGTCAAGGTCTTAAGAGATTACTAGATCACACTGATTTCTTTTAAGGCCAGTACTTTTCTTTGCCAAGGAAATGTATGTTCTGGGAACTCAGTCAAAGATGCTAATTTACTAAATGTATCCCCTTCTACCAGGAATAATTCCTAAGCAAAACTCCTCGTTTAGTGAAACCTAGGAAATTGGTCAGAGTGAGGTTTTTTGGACTGACTGCTGTTTCCAGATCTCACTACAGTTTCGTTACCATCTGCTTCAGACCTTACCACAGAACACCAGAACTGTGTTGCTTTCTGTTCCTCTGCATAATTTTGTATCACCAATGCAGACTTCCCCTGCAGTACCTGCTGCTGGAAGCAGGTTTTCTGTAATTCTCTGCACCTCCTCAGTTCTTTAACCTACTTCAAGAGTCATCCTAGTAAACACTGAAAAGCCTTCACTTAATCCTTTACTCCTCTCCTTCTGTATCTTTTATATTGTTGTTCACACTATGAGCCTGTTGTAGTGAGGTTTTATTTTCTTACACACCTGTAATACAGGCAGGGATTTAGTCAAGGAACATGCAAAAGAAGCTGCATAATGTACTATTGCACACTGATTGACTTTGAAATGAGTAGGTACAAATTATCCCTCCATAATGAAACATTCAATTGTACGGAGACTAAGGAGCCAATGATTTGACTGAGACTTTTTCCTTGAGAAAGGCAACTGCATGTGGTATTTTTAGTGGAAAACATGAATTACATGTGTAAGAGCAGTACCTGAAGAGCCACCATGAGTGGGCCTAGCACCCCAAGGCCCTGAACTACTGCACTGCCAGCTTCAAAGCACAAATAAGTTGTGAGGAGCAAGTTCAGCCAATTGCCCACAACTGCATCTAACTGCAAGGTGGTTCTATATGCTCCAGGGAATGTTGTTTTGTCAGCAGGCACACCAAATTAAAGGTATTTCCATACCTAATTATTCAGATGCATACATGTGTGATGGAGGAGCACTCATCTAGATGAAGGCAGGCATGTTGCCTGCAGAAATGTGGAGGCATTGGGAAAAAAAAAAAGAGTTTGCCTGCACACAGAAATGTCAAATGAGTCATGGATTCTGAAGATACAGGATGGAAAAGGGTTAGACGGATACAGCACCACAAGCCACAGAGAGCAAGGATGGGGTGGCTGCAATCCAGTGAGTGCTGCTATTCTAAAAACATAACAACATTGCAAAGATCTGTGCAAAAAACGTTTTTCAGATGAGTTAGCTGTTAATTTTTATTTTTTTAGCTGCTCATGATGCAGGAGGAAAGATTTCTCCTATATTATATTTTTTAACCCTTCTCACATTCAAAGGATTGTAGTGTTGCAGTTAGAAGCAGAGCAAGGTCGGTGCAGGCAGCAAGGCAAAGAGACCTTAACTTCAGTTAGAGAGGATAAGCAATCCTTACCTCCCACTTCGCCTGTTTAAATAAGTGTGAATCAGTAACCAACTTGATTTGCTCCCTAGCATTTGTATGTCAAGCACTTAAGCTAACCTTAGGGCAGAAAGAGGGTTATAGCACCATTAGTGTGACAGTAAAGTATCTAACTTCCTCAATAAAAATGCTATTCTGTATTATTTTAAGCTACTTTTATAGTTTTACAAGGTGTTGCTTCCTTTCTAATACAGACATTTCACTCCTACTCCCCACATCAAAAATTCCTCCCTCTAATGCTGTTTGCCCAGCAGTAGCCTTCAGTGGTGAAGGCAGATCTGCCAGCCTTCTACTCACATTTTCTGACCTTGTTGCAACAGATTTCAACAATACAGTAGGCAAATACTGTTATACTGGATGTGTTAACTCCCCCAGTGCTGAGCAGGTTATGGAGACGTATGTATCCATGTACTCAGATGAACTGAGTTTTCAAGTAATGATTCTCTGAATCAAAAACAGAAGATGCTAATACAGCTGTACACAGAACTGTTTCCTAAGCATCTTCTCAAAAATAAACCAAGAGAAATTCTGTTTTTGAGTCCTTGTTTTCAGAGAGAACACCTATCCTTCCCAGGAGACTCAGATGCTGACTCTGAAGACAGGTCAGCAGCTTTTTTTTTGCAAATTAAAGGATCCACACTGAAGACTCTGCAGCAGATGATCAAAACACAATAACCTTGAAGAAAAATATGGGGATCATGTCTCCATTACAGAGGACTCATCTGAGTCAACATGTGCTGCTTGACTTGTCTAGTCTCTGGGGTCTCTGATTGGGAAAATTGCAGACAGCACAGAAGGTTAATACTTTCTTAGTTAGCAACCAGACACAACTACATGTTGGTTTTTTGAAGACGGTGACATATTTCAGATTTGTTTAAACACTTTTTTGATGTCTAGCCTTTTCAGTGAGTGTTCTAAACAACAGAATAAAGCCAACATGGGGCTTTGTTGCATGGGCTCTTTCAGGTAAAATACCCCAGCTTCTGTCCTTGTTATATAACAGCATGATAAATCCAGAGAGAGAAAGGATCCTTTGACATGTGCAAGGCTTTGTATGCACAAATCACACATGGCAGTGGGCACCACCGTAAAAGCAGGTTAAACAAAAGCTTTAAAAATAAGTAAATCAAAAATAGGGCAAACTATAGCTTGTATTACAGATTGCATCCAAAAAAACAACATCCTTCAAAAACTCACTAGGTAAAAAATGTTAGAGAGAAAAGAGGACAAAATGCCTACTGGCTCTTCTTCATAAAGACATTTCCCATGGCTGAGTCATACCAGTTTAATCAGCTCCCACATACTAAATCCCCCTCTGTGCCACGTTTGCTCATTACTCTGCATGCATAAGCCCCTCAGCTCTGTTCCTGGCTAAATATACCTCTCTCACTGGCTGGTTTGTTTTTGTGTGCCTGCACAAAGAGCTGCCTTAGCATGACTGAGGGAACAACACAGAGTTGGAAATAAATGGCAAATGCAGGAGTTCCTGACC